GTGAGAGCGGCCGGGGGGGGGGGGGGCTGGCAGCAGGACGGGTTGCCACAGAGCAGCCTCTGCCCATAGCAGGCCCAGGGTCGCTGTAGTCAAGAGGCTGCTCCATATTTAAACTGTAGACGTGCAGAGGAGCGTAGGTCCTGCATCCAGTTCAATACTGGACTGAGCAAGTCCTTCCTTCTTGACTAATCGTGTAGTCAATAAAAAACATCCTTAGTACTGGCAACACCACAGTTAACCAATATAAGCGATATCTACCTTGTCTTTGCTGTACAAAGCTATACAGTTTCTACACCATCCTAGAAGAGAAGCAGTTTACACTGTCAAAGGAACAGTCAATGGGTGACTGTAGCCCCCCCCCCCATTGCACCTCTTCATTTAAAGTGTATTAGGAGCCAAGCTTGCAGGCAGCCTACCTCAGTTCCAGCTCATCCCAGGTCAGGGAGCTCAGACCTCCCCTCCCCTGGACGGGGGTTGCTGCACAGGGTGACAGGCAGCCAGCCTGCAACGGGAGCCAGTGTTTAAACTGGCTCCCTCACAGACAAGCTCCCATCTGGCACCCTGTGCTGCTGCCTCTGATAGAGACACAGCAGTGTGGGACTGCAAGGGGCTCCCTTGGAGTGGGGTCAGAATGCACTACTACCAGCTCTACCCCCGAGGACTATAGAATAGTCAACTAACAGATAAGAATTCATGAGGTCAATCGACTATTCAATTAACTGATATTTAACATCCTTATTCTTAATCAGAATAACTATGTTAGATAAAGCCCCTGTATAAATGCAGCTATACCAGTAAAAAAAGTCCTTTTGCTGGAATAGCTTGGTTTTGTTTGGATAACTAGTAGGGATGTGAGCAGGTGACTGGGTATGCAGTAAACATAAAATTTAACAGGTGATGCTTACTGGATAATGGTTAACCATTACTTGGGAGCAGCCCACAACCCTCCGTGGGCTGAGAGCGGCTCTAGCTCTGTGGGACTGCCAGCTCCCAGCCTCTGAAGCAGCCCAGCCGTGACAGATGGGGGGGAATGGCTCCTCCCCCCACCTGTTTTAATCAGGTAACCAGTTAAACTTAAGGGGGAAAAGGAGGAGGTAGTACAAAGCACTGCTTGAAGCCTGGGTCCAGACTTTGAAACACCATATGCAGCCCAGGGCCAGCTGGGGTGTCTCCAGGATGCACACGGTGTTTCAAAGCAGCAGTGCTGTGTGGAGCCTGGGATCAGCTGGGGACTCCCCCACTGACTCTGGGCTTCGTGTGGCGCTGTCACTTTGAAACACCCAAAGGAGCCCAGTATAAAGCTTTGTGCAGCATTTCAAAGTGACAGAGCCACATGGAGCCTGGAATCAGCTGCAAAATGCATCTACTATTCGATTAGTCAATTAGTTGACTTAATAAATGGGGTTTTACATCTCTAGTAACTGGTATAAACCCGTGGTAGTCAATATTTTTTTTTGTCAGGGTACAAATTTCTTGGTTAAGGTATAGTCAAGGTTTTGGCTCTAGAGAAAATAATAATAATAATAAATAATTAAAATCCAGTAGTGATAAGTACATAAAAAGACGTCAAGGTCTGTTCAAAACTGTTGGTCCCAGACCCAGTGGAAGCCAGGACTGAGCTGGGCTGCTAGCCAGCCTGCTAAAAAATGTATTGGCAAGGGGCAGGGGAGGAGGGGAAATGTGTGTAGTCTATAGCATTAACCTATAAGCTTTTTCTTATTGGTTAATCGACTACACTATTATATACCTATTAAGGATGCAGTTTTTCCATACTCTGTCCCAGCAAAATTTGCCTGGTCTCGTCTTGAAAGAAGTGACACTTGTTAATATGACCTTTGTGCATTTAATTCCTAAGCTTGTAAATGTTTGGAATTATTCACAAACATATGTGTGTGTTTAAGCATTTGCAGGATTGAGCAATTAGTGATATATTATTCTTAGTATTGTTACTATATTTCTATCACTTACTTACTAATTTTTTCAAATTAGTACAAAAATCTACAAGAAATCTCCCAATCACTAGCACAAAGTAGATAGATTCACATTATAAATAATCAGTACTACTCAAATTACTTCTCACTATTACGATTTCAATATTATTCTTAGTAAAATAATGCCAAATAACAGCTCTGAAAGAGACGTGTTTTCATTTATATTAAAAAAAAATAAAATTCAGAGATAATCGAGAATTCCACTACCTTTTAATTGAATTCAAATAATGAATTCAAGGAATTTATTGTCCTGTCAGTAATAATTGTCTTCAAAAAACAAGCTTTAATATGGTTGTGTCAAGATGTGCTATAGACATTAGTTTATATAAAGAATTTAAAAAAAATAAATTAGAAAAATGTTTAATTTCTCACTGACAATATAACTCAACATTCATTTTCTTTCATTAATAGGAAACGTTTTTTTATAAATGCCTTAAAATTAATTCCAAATGAAAAGGACTTTCACTACCATCATAAAAAAATTAGAGGCCAGAGTTGGAACAGGAACATGTTGTATCAAAAGGCATAAAATTAAAAGGTAAACAAACAAATGTGCCATGAGCTTCAATCGTTTTTTTACAGTTTGACAGAATTCATTCCTATCTCCTGAATATAGATTGTATCCTTTCCCTAAATGCACATATTAATGACTACACTTTAAACTGTGTAGAATTTGAATGCTATAGGCACAGGTTTTTTAAAAAGGAACATTTCAACCATCTCATTCAAATTAACACAGCTCAAAAAAAAAAAAAAGCCCCACCGCATCAAAACATAACAGCCATTTTTCAACCAATGGGAGGGAATTCTCAATGAGCAATTTCTTTTAAATATCAATCTTAAAAATGATAATGAGAAAATACCAGCTCCCTCCCCTCATTCATGTCTATCACAAACAGGGTAACAAAAACTACTGGGTTACTTGCCCTAAGCATGTGGCTAAGTAGAATTTTGCTAGGCTATTTAAAAGCAGTTTTCATAGTCTTTCTAGTAATGAAGAATGTTTTGTTTGTCATGTCTTCGCAACAGGTATTTTTGAAATGTCTGATGTTTCCTTTTAATTTATTAACACACCTTATTTTGATTATCAACAAAGCCTGAGACAGCAGCCTTCACAAGGAGGTAAATGCTTTTAAACTCGCTGTGATATTAATTTCAACTGTAGGAGTATCTCCCTCCCAAGTTTGGCGCATATTATGGATTCAGAGGTAAACAAATATTTAATTCACATTATCGCCCTTGAAATAATAGAGTTTCCACCACCTCTGGGGCTCCTTCACACCTCCCTCAAGTCATTTGGCTTTGAAGGCATTTCACACAACTCCCAGGAGTGCACCCCTCTCAGATCTGGCAACAGCCCAGGGCTGTGGGGATCATTTGAGAGGTGAAGGAAGGGAAGAGACTTCCAATCAAGTAGAGAAGACACAGAAGGGCTCTTCCTGACACATCTACTCCGAGCAAAATAACTGTGGCGTGTTTCCTTAACACACAGCCACACTATCTTTCCTCTCCCCGCAGACACGCACCCCCGCCCCTCTCAGGGGAGGGAGAGCGCTTTCCCACCCATCCCCGCAGCGAAGGAGACCAAGGCGAAGGAGGAAGGAGACCTCTTTGCTGGTCGAGCAGCGAAAGAGCAAAGGCAATGCCTTGAGCTAGGCACAGGAGGGCGACTGCCGAAACATTAAAGAAAATAAGACCAACCATCCAGGGCTTTAAAATGGCGCCTGTAAAGGAGGAGGAGGCGGCGGCCAAATAGGGAGGAGAATCACAGAGAAACTGCGCAACAAACGCTGGCAGGCGGCCAGGCAGCCAGCGCCATCTTCTCCTGCTCTCCCGGGCAGTCAGAATCACACACGAGCCGCCCAGCGCAGCAAACGACCAGCCCAGCGCGCCCAGCTGCGGGGCCGGAGAGATCCTTGTTCTTCCCAAGTTGTTACATCCTGAAGAGACTGGAGCGAGCAGCGTGGCAGGAAAAGCAAAAGGCCTCCGCAGCCCCTCGCCTCTCCTCCCCCCACCCCCACTGGTTATTAAATAACACTTTAAAAAGCAAACACCCCAATATCCTATTTCCCCTTCAAATGTGAGTTTCCTTTACAAAATATGGCACGTTAGTACATTCCCCCCGCAGCCTCGTGAGCTAAAAGATTAAGAAAGGTTGAAGAAAGCAACTGAAATTAGGCAACCCCTCCCCCCAACACACACAAATATCCAACAACAATGACTTTCCCCTGCCGCAAGGAAGCCCCCTCCATAACGCCAGGGTTTGCGTTAGGCTAAAAACGAGATTTTTTCAAAAAAAAAAAAAAAGTTCAGAGAAATAATCCAAGAATCAAATGCAGCCCTTAAAAAGGAAAACCAAACGGGTCACTAGAGAGAAAGGCGGTTTATTGCTCCGTTTTACAATAGATATACAGGTAAATACGTTCAAGAAAGCGGCGAGGAGAGCCTGATCCTACAAAGGAAAAATAGTATTAAACCCAAACCCACCGCCCAAAAATCGCGCGCGCCCTCATCAGCTCCACTCCTTGGGGGTGGGGGGGGAAGACAGGCTATTTCAGAAGGAATTTCAAATAAACCAACAAAATCTAGTGGCTACAATAAAAAGGAAGAAAAATAAATCCGCAGAAGTCCCAAATCAGAAAGACAAATTCAAAGAAACTGCAAGATCAAGGTGGTGGAGGCAGGTAGCGGGGGGAAAAAATCAAGCCAGGAGTGAGGAAAAAAAGAAAAATCCTTCCCAGCCCTACACAGCCAGGAGAGAGAAGTGTCTCCATTTTCCAGTGGA